GACTATGAGCGGTATTTGTCCAACTTGGCTGCAGTCAGTTTATACTCCACCCCTGCAGCTGCCGGCAGATCGCGCTCCACGTCACGTCAGCTGCAGAATGACCTAAGCCCAAGTCGAACGCACCCATTATTCCGATGTTTGCTTGTGTGGGTGTGGCCATACAAATAGCGGCACAAACAGGATCGAATCTATAATATGGGTATTACGTGCCTTTGAGTACTTCCTGCCCCAACCGACTGTGCACTTCCCCCTTCCCCTCAGGTACATCTTCCTCTTCGACATGGCCATGGTGGTGTGTAAGAGGAAGAGCGGGGACGTCATGGGCCTGAAGGAGATCGTGGAGCTGGAACACTACCGGCTCTCGGATGACATCGAGGAGAAGGACAAGAAGGTCCAGTGTGTTCCTCAAGCTCTCCTGAAGCACTTCATCTTCCCTCCATTTCCCTCCATTTCTTTGTTAGAGAATTTAAGAAGTTAATGACTTTATTTGTCTAACAGTTTTGAAGAAGTCAGTCTAGGTCGCTGTGTTGCATGCGCTGTGTTGCATACACAGGGCAAGGGTTATGCTGCTTTGTCATGCTTTACTCATCGATGGCCTGGTGGTCTCTGATGCTGAGCCCTTCTGTGTTTCAGTGGTCGCACTTGTTCGTTCTGGCGGATTCCTACGGACATCGCAATTTCGAACTGTACTGCAAAACCAAGGAGCTGAAGAGGAAATGGGTTGAACAGTTCACCATCGCCTTGTAAGCATTGCACGTGACAGTATGAGGTCATCGTTAACTGCTGCTGTGCACTTTTTTAGTATACTGTACTGAATGTGCAGTAATGGCTCCCAGATTGTCTGAGTGTCCGTGTGTCAGCTGAAGGCTCCTCCCACAGGAAATGACAAGCTAAATTTATGCTGCCGGTTTTTTCATTATTCTGTGTCAGTGTTCTGGTAATGACTGACCTGTAGCTAAATTGGCAACACGTCTCTGGCTCTGTCCAATGATTTTCCTTCGTTGCCAGTTCCAATGTGTTTCCCGAGGGCAAGAGGGCCAACAACCATGATTTTGAGATGCACAGCTTTGGGGAGACCGTATCCTGTGTGGCCTGTCATATGCTCCTCAGGTGAGGCTCATTTGGAGGCAAAATCAGTGCAAAAATGGGGATGCTAATAATGCTAACAACCGGGTCTTACATGGCGGCCATTTTGGTTAGCTGTGTGACCAAAAGTTGGCTCGACCCTGAGAGAAGGGTACTGCCAGGTCAAAGCATGTTTGTCATCTGTGGTGACAAGTTGGGTCACCTTCCAGCCTGTTCCAACAGCCTCCCTCCTGTTCCCTCAGAGGTATCTTCTACCAGGGCTACCGCTGTACTGTCTGCTCAACCTCTGCTCACAAGGAGTGCCTGGATCGTGTTTCTGTCTGCAAGAAAAAGTCAGGTGACCCCCCCCTCACCTCACCTTCATATTGGCTGTGTGCTTCATGTGGCCTCGTGTGATAGTTTTACACAAAACCATCACCTTCTATCAAGAGGGCTTGTGACATTCTGCTAGAAAAACTGCAAACGTTTCATTTATTAATGATTCTGCTCTTTTTATTCAGTTCATATAATCTCCTGTATTTTTTGGTTCTCTAGAGCATTCAGGCACCATGAGAAGGGTAAGTTTTTCTAGATTGTTATTTTTTTTTGAGCATTAATGGACATTATTAATGGCAAATGGCAAACTTTTGTGAGCTTGATGATCTGTGGGAGACACAGTCTCTGAAGGCGGCTGTATACTTCAAACGAAAACGAAAACGAGAGATGAAATTGAACACGTTGGCAGGACAATCGCCTGCGTTCTTTAAACAGAACACACTAGACCATGGGGCCATGTCATGCCACAAGCCCCATAGGACTCAAAATGTTTTTGATGAAGCAGACCCACACAGACAGTGCAAAAAAAACATATTGTGTGGAGTGTGTGAGTCATTTCAAGAAAGCAGGTGACAATTCTTTTGAAAAGGAAGTTACTATCTTTATTGAGAGCCACTGTTGGTTTAATACTAGAGGCAGCGCAGAAAGGGAAGCCAACGATTTAAACGACACTCGCGGTCATGAATGGACCAGTTGGTGGAATCAGAACAAGGGATAAAGTTTGCCTTCTGGATCCTACACAGGCAGTGCGGATCGCGGCTCATATGACATCATATTGCTAAAATGACGTCAATCTTATCTGAAGGGTACAGCCACCTTAAATCTGCAAACAGTGCAGAGGGCCTGCTTGTTAATTCCGCCATAAGAACACAGGGCGCCCTCTGCTGGCAGCACCACAGATGCAGCTCTGTGCTCCATATTTACTCGCGACAGCTCTGTGCTCCATATTTACTCGCGACCTGATATTTGCAGATACGTTGCCTGAAACAGAAACAACTTGAGAAAATGAGTCCGATGTTTTCGGTGCTTTTTTTAACATGTGCTTGTGTGCCACCTAAATAACAGATGTTTATGGGTTCAAATCCCATGGCCAGCAGAGTAACCCAATCACTGTTGGGACCTTCATCAAGGCCTTCAAGTCCTGAGCCAGTTTTAACTTTCTTGCTTATTTAGTCCTTATTGGGCAGAGACCAGCTATTTTTGGCGTGTTTGACTCTAGTTTCTTCCGCAGCGAGAACCCAAACGACCAGCACTGGAAGCAGATAAAGGTGAGGGCTTTGAGTATCTTATAAGATGCTGGTGATACTCATTTCTTGCCACTGCACTTCCAGATGGTGCTCTGAACACACAGAGTGAATGAATCATGCAGGGTGAGGGTCAAAGGCTACGTCCGCACTGCTACGTTTTTGAGTTTTCAGGAAAAAACAATCTCCGTCCCCACAGGCATTTTCACGTTTATGAAAATATTTTCATCCACACTGGACTTAGTCTGTTTTATCCATTAGCCTTCATTGAGCATGCATGCATCGACACATTACGGTAACTTAGTTTCTTTTTGCGAAAATATGCAGCAGTCACAATGTTTAACATGCTATTTAGTTGGTAGTGACAGTGTTATTGAAAGCAACTCTTCCATATCCACCATGCTGTTTACTTTGTGTAGGGTGACCAGGTGACCAATCAGGCAATGAGAGGGTGTAACTGCCGGGATCAAATCAGGGATGGGCCACATGATGAGTAGGGACCAATTAGGATGCTTTTAGGGTTTGTGTTTTTTACATCCCAATCAACTCTACAGGTTCTCAGTAGTATACGGCTGTGGTATGGTTCAGGTTCAGCTTGGTTCTTGGTGGCAGTGGAAAAGCACCATTGGTCTCAGGCTTATCAGAGAAGCCCCACCCTTACCGATTATAAGTTTGTCGCCACTCTGTGATGTTGAGGGGGGGGGGCACTCATTCTAGTGCGGGGTTACAGTGCTGCTTTCTGTGACTGGCTTAAGCTTCATCAGGAACCAGCACGTCCTCCTCATGCTTTGAGGCTCCATTTCCGGGGTTCCTGCGTCCCCCCTGCCGCTGAATATGAAGGTGCTCACAGACTAGGCGGCTCCTGTCCCAGTTACAGCCAGACGCCTCCGTTTACCTCAAATGGCCGCCAGTATAAGGCAGTATGAAGTGTGCTGGCTTCTGCTGGTGCTGAGCCACCCATCTGGGTATGGAAGTGCCCAAGTCTTTTGCATTTTTAAAGTGACCTACGCGAGCGTGACCCCAGAGATGAGAGAACCTGACTGTGCACCTGAGAGATGCACCTGCCCTGCTTACAGAGTGTCCATTGGCACCCCAAACGGGTGTAGAGCTGGCACCAGCCCCAGCTGAAAGCTGATTGGCCCCCTGGGGCGCCGCCTCCCCTGTCACTCACTAATTCAGAACATGTCATTGGCTAATAAGATTTGCTCCTTTTTGAATCATGGCCCCACCATAACCAAATTCTAAAAGTACTGTCTCTTCTCCAGAAATGCCAAGGATGGAGGTGCTTCAGGAGTACTGCGGGAGACCTCCACCTCCCGGGGGGGGCTGCCTGGCACTCCGTCTGTCCGTGGGTGACATCATCGAGCTGTTGACAGCCAATAGGACGCAGCAGTGGTGGGAGGTGAGTAGGTTGGTGGCAGACTCGCACGCTAACTGGTCAGTAAACTGGGGCCCTGACCCCGAGACAAAGTGAAACTGGCTTGGTAAGTTGGCAGCCCCACCAGAAGGTGGCGCCCTTGGCGACTGCCTGTGTCCAGTCATGTTGATCCAAGGCTCTTCCATGTTGCCAAGCAACACAAAAATGAAATAAAAATCCTCTTTATATGTTTGCCAACTGAGAGTTTCTTCTGTCCTAGGGCCGGAACTTGGGAACCGGTGAATCAGGATGGTTCCCGGGCAGCAACGTCGGACCGTTTACCCCTGTGAGTCACTGTCGATGGACTGAGGTCGCTGGATCCGATGGTCAATGCAGATCCATTACTGAGGGAATAGTTACAGCCGTTTAATGCCCGAGCAGAACATATTCGTTCGTGCCTGGAGATCAAGGAAAAGCTCAATTAACTCCAACATCTAGATATATCTGGTTTTGTTCCCTAAGGTTCATATCGATTTAGCAGCTTGTTTTGAGCATGCAGGGAGTGTGGTCCCTCCACAGCCTTGACCTGTACACCCATGTGCGACTTCAGCAGCCCCCAGTGAGAGAGACCATTCTTTTGGCTGCGCTGAAAAGTTCCCTGATGCCTGTTCTGGCTGTTCGATGTGCTTAAAGATAATAACGTCTGCCTCCATCCAATATTCTTAATTCCTCTCTCCACACAGAAACCGCAGACAGACCTGGAGGCGTTCCCATGGTGAGTAGAGGGAGGCCTGGGCTTTCATTTTTATCTTTTTATTGCATTTTTAACCTCCTTCTGCACACAGCGTCAAACAACACAAGTTCCTGCAGAAGGCTCTTCTCCCATACCTGATTATATGAGATGGTGAAAGCTTTGGTCCAGTCTATTATACACATAACACCGTATGTTGTATTGGTCTGCTTGGAGAACGGACTCATTGATGGACTTTAACCATAAACACAGTTTACTCCCTCGTTTTATTACAGCTGGCCCATTCTCTCTGTTTTCTGTGATGTCACTGTGCCTGGGGGCATCCAGCCATCCTTGCCTCCCCAGAGTTTGCCCAGAGTCACTTGTCTTCTCCTTGCTCATGAGTTTTTGGTTCCTCTCCTCCGTCCCCTTCTGGCTTTCTTTCTTCCCCTCTTCCCGTTTTTCATTGTTCCTTGCAGCATTCTGTATGCATGACGAGAAACACAGATTGCTACTCGTACCCGTGTTACACCCCCCCCCCCGCCATATACATGACCTCATGTGGGACGTCCCACTCTACGCACACCACCCTACTATAACATAAGATATCAATACAGCATCTATAGTAACTAGGACTTAGAGGTTGCAAAATCCCAGTCTGTGGGCTTGAGGATTAACTCACTTCCTGTTGTCTGCTTCGTTAGTTGCCATTGGCTTAGACCAGGCAGTGATTTACAGGCCTTGTCAGTCACACCATTGGTTGAATATTCGGCGGTCCCTTCCCTACTCCCATCTGTGGCCTTCTGCAGGTTTGCAGGAAACATCGACAGGCACGTAGCGAAGAGCCTGCTAATGTCTCGGCCAGAGGGGACCTACCTCGTCCGGCAGAAGGAGTATGACGACTTCGCCATCAGCATCAAGTGAGAACCTCAGACTGCTGCGCCAGAAGGTTGCTGGCTCAAATCCTAGGACGTGCTTCGCTGTTTTGCCCTCAAGCGGAACTTTCCCTTGAGCTGTTCCATTAGAAGATGCAGCCGGTTTAAAAAGAGGCTGGAAGTGTATCTCACCTCGGCAGAGGATCAATGATTAAAAGCCGCACCTTCGTATTGCTAGTCGACTCCCCCCGCTTAAGCCGCCCTGCTTCTGGCTCTGTCGCAGGATCAAGACGGACGTCAAGCACATCAAGATCACTTGTATCAACGGGATGCTGCACATAAACGAGAAGAAAGCCTTCAAAGGCTTAATCGTATGTGTCGCCGTTTGCCTGTCACTCCCTGAAACGCACCTACACAGGGCCGGGCAGCTGCTTAGGGTCCAGCAACCACCAGGGGGCGCCCCTCAATCTGTCCAGCCTGTTAGAACAAGAAGGCAGGTGACAAATGACAACTAGGTTAATGAAATTTTGTGCTGGGCCCTGAAATGGGTTGCGCCAGCCTGCTCCTACAGTAGGATACACCAGGAGGCCAATAGCTGACACAGAAAGGTGGTTTAGCCCTTGGGCTGAATAATTAAATTATATTAGCTCTGATAATTAACTAATACATCAAACAAGCTAGCTGAACAGGTAAACACAGAAACAAGGACACTTGATGAATTAATTGCATGCTCTGTGTAAAGTGCTGTTTATCCGTCTCCGACCCGCATTCGTGATGCAAGATTCCATTGCTGTTCATCCTTGTAGGAGCTGGTGGAGTACTATCAGCAGAATACTCTGAAGGAGTGCTTTAAGGAACTGGACACAACCCTGCACATCTCCTACAAAGAGCCTGAACAGAGCACGACCCAGTTTCAGTTCGCACAGAGTGAGTGTAGGTCCCTCCCTCTCAGTTCACACTGGGCCAGTGTAGATCTAACACTGGGCCAGTGTAGAGTCCCCTACCGATCCCCACTCTTCTGGTCCCTAAATAACCAGCCCAAACCTAAATGCAACATTAATACTCAACCTCAGCTGTGTGATATCAGCACAGCACAGCAGTTATATTAGATAATACTGTTTCTTTGCTGTGGGCTGGTTACTGCGTGCAAGATAGTACCCTTGATAGGCAGAGAATGGCACAAGTATACTGAAGCACACTCCCCCTGCAGCAGGCGACATGTCTGTCTCCTCAACGCTGAGCTGGGCCCGGGTGCTGTATGACTTCTCAGCACGTGACTCATCAGAGCTGTCACTGCGCATGGGAGATGATGTGAAAATCACCTCCAAGGACACTCCTGAAGGATGGTGGATGGGCGAGTCTTACGGCCAGGTAATCTCAAATTTGAAAAAGGTCGACTCCTCTCTACAATAGCTTGGGTGGCTGTGATAACCGGTTTGATGGATGTGTCTTATTTCACCTTATATTCAGTTTTAATACGTTTGCTGGAGTGCAGTGCTGGCCACTTGTGGTTGTAGAGGGTACAACATGCCTGCCTGATATTTTCCATGTTCTGAAAATCCTTGTTATTACAACCTTTCTCTCCTCTCTGTCTCGTCTGTCTCTTCTGTTCATTCCGCATAACAAGATTGGGCTCTTCCCAGCCAATTACGTGCAAGAGAACTACTCTGAATACTGTTGACAGAGTTACTGGGATGCAGGGTCACGAGGTCGCAAATGAAAGATGGAACCAGGGGGAAAATGGCTAACCGCTGGGCAAAGGATGTTCTGCACTGTTACTATCACTGCCGTGATTACCTTGCGTAATTGTCGTAATCTAAAAATCATACTTGAGTTGTTTTTTCTAACCTTAATAAAAATGTACCAGCTGAATATAGGCTATCTATGCAGTTTCCCCGAATTATTAAAAATTAACCCAATATCACGTTTACACCAATGTAATTCTGAGAAATTGTATATTTTGAGATTCTTTATCAAATACTTTTATGTATAATAAACTGTTACAGTGACTGGTAATTGAAGTAAACGTTTTCCATGTTGAGTCTGGAAATGTTTTATCGCCATATTTAATCTGGAATTACTCATTTAATCACCTAGCCTATACTCATGAGTTTCCAATCACACAGTTAGACAAATTAACTGAAGACAATATAACCAATTAAAGAATCATTATTAATTACCTGCTTGCAATTAAATGAAGCCCCCTTTCAACCAGATACAAAAATAACCCTTAAAATCAATTAATACCAGTCTTGTTCGATATGATTATGCTCGTCGTTAATAGAGTAGCCTAATTCTTCTCGGTTACCATTCAGCAATATCAACACCTGAAAGATACTGGAACTGTTCTCGTTCCTTCTTGCTCAGGTAGCTGTAAACATTTTCGATTATTCCATTTCCGGATAAAAATAAGCAGACAAACGAGAGAGAACTGTCATCTCGCAGATCCTGTGTCAAATGCGGTTCATACATATTTATTATGAATAATAGGACTACCTGTTCGGGATAAATGTAAAGCCCAATTAGTGAGACAGACCGGCAATACTGGGATTTTAAGCGAAATCGCTTTAAGCATACTGAAGGTCTGAGAGCAATGCATCCTTGTATATGATATCGTCCGATTCTATCGGTGTATATTTGCAAAGTGCTGGCACAGAAAATTTCTGAGCAGCCAATAAGTCATCTAACATCAGCTTTTCTTCCTTTAAGTCGCACAAATTACAGCAGGTTAGTTTATAACGTTAATACCGTTTCCGATTCCCGCAGTACTCACCTTCACCACGAAGTGGCGTCGCGTTCGAAGAAAAACTTTTCTGCGTTTAGCGATTATTTTTGAATTTCGAAATTAATCAATCGCTCCGTAGTTACATTCATTACTATCTAGAGTCATACTAATTATTATTCCATACACCATATGAGCAATAGGGTAACGTCCAAGAGAAGCCTCCAATTATGGTTTAGGTAAAATGGACCCTACGACTACACTATCTTAAGCTTAAATTTTCAAATATATCCCAATGCAAGTACAGCTTTGCATTGTAAATCTAGGCAAATACACTATATTCTGACATTGACACAGTTCCGAAAGAATGCTCTCACAAGCTTTAACCAGCAACTTAAATCATGTTGTTGTTTTTTTTTTTAAACTAGTCATGCAGCTCTATTAGCATAATATTATCCTGACTCATACATTTTCCAGCCACGTATCGAGTTAACCTCGAACGACCTTACACATCCATTTCAAAACAAGGGAAGGTAAATGTAGCACGCTTTAATGGGTGAAATATTCTCGACTTCATTTCCAATCGAGGTGTCAATTCTCTGTTTTAAGAGTTGAATTCTGCACTGTCGTTAGCAATTTGTTTCTAACTATCGTGCCCCTCGTACCGAGGTGGAGAAAACATTTGTGTAATTTCACTGAAGTCAGCAGCTCGTCCTCCCAGCTGTCTCTGAACATTGTATAATCAGATGCAGTTCGGGCTTTGCAGCGCTGTCGTGGAGCAGTGGCTGTTCAATCACCCAGCATGCTTAATGGGAGTCATGTCGTCATACATTCTGCTACATAACCACGTCAACATAATTCTGCATGAACAATTTAATACGTACGTAATTAGTAAAAATCGAAAGTATATAAATCTTTATTTAGACCCAGTAAAACGGATATATGACATAGGAAACCGAAGCATGCTTGATCTCAATCTTAGTCTGCGATGCGGTAAATATACCAGTCAGTTAGTCGTGCGGTTAGTATTGTTGGTTCTCTACGACTTGTGAATAAAAGCATGACATCCTGTTGTGCTGTGCTCTGTTAATATAATGTTTTGAAGCTTTTGTTTTGTTTAGATTCGCCAAAATTCGCACATCCTCTGCGCATTTGACGTGGCTGAATTTTACTCATATTCTCCCACTACTGGCTAAATTTCTCTGATGAATGTGCTCTAACGACGGCCACAGAACTGCAGGCACACGCTGCGCGTCCCCTTTTAATCGTGCGCGGCGCCGCGGGAGCGCGGAGATTTCAGGTGTACCAGCAGCGTTTATAAGAGCACCGTGCCATCTGGCACCTCCAGAGGCCCTCCTGGCAGCTCGTGCGGAGGAATTAATAACTTATATTATTTCTGACATACCCGTGACACGTATATATCGCAATAATTTTTTCCCCCGTAATTACATGATCCGTTGATCTCAGACCAATTTAAAACCAGATTTTAATTGATTCAGCTCCTGCATCCCGTCGATGCAGTATTTTAATCGGTCCCTTGGTCGAACACGAGTGTGCGGTAGAGGACGCTGTTGGCTCATCGGCCGAATTACTTGCTTTGCCTTGGGGTTATTTACCCAATATCAGCAATCGTTGTACAAACACAATGCAAGACCTTAAATGTTTTATTAAAACACGACAGTAGAGAAATAAATCAGGTCTAATTGGATGTTCTAAAAGGATCTTATAATCTGTCATACGCAGAGCTGTAGTCCTAATATCCGCAACGTATGGCTACAATGAAGGAAAATGTCGAAGCAAGCAGCTAAACGTGGAGACTTATATATGTGTGTTCACAGTGTACTTTGGATCTTCCTTTCCGGGCAATTTATATAAAAGCTCAAATATCGTGTCCTACAATTTCCCATAATTTTAAAGAAACCTGGGAACGGTCATTCGAGATCGTCTTTTCTAAAATGTCAGATTAAATTAATGTCTTGCAATTGAGTTAGACCTCTATTACCCTTATTTTTGTCCTTCTTTGCCTATGCGTGCTCAAGTGTTGGTCCATTTTGATGCGCTGATGAAAAAAAAACACGTAGCCTGTTATTTGACATCACAACACTGCTGAGCTTTGAACTCACTCAGTTTTTTTTTTATTTGCCCTGTAATGGGATTTCATCAGAACCAGTCGATAGCATGTTCCCCTTAAACCAAAGTTAACTTCGTCCGATAAATATGCACGAACACTGTATAGATTTATTTACTTTCACTGCTTGCTTCAGATCTAACCACAGTGTCGGTATTTTCGAAATGAAATCTTTTCCCCCTTTGGACGCAAAACGCTGGGTAATCGTGAAAATGAGCTCAAAAATAACTCCATTTCTCAGTGGTTTTAGCCTAAGGAGGCGGTGTTGTGTAGCGAAGCACAGGCGACGGAGCGTGAGGGAGCGGAGGCAGTGGCTACGGGCACAGGTCCACGTGGGGGAAGACTGTGCTCCTCCTCCTTCTGGACAGCTTGGCCGTGGTGACAATATTCCAGGGGGACTTTTTTTAAAAAAAAAGGTGAACAGTTTCTTTCTTCAGTTATTACTTTGATCGTAACGCCACTTTTGCGAACATGTCAGCCTGACTCCTTACCAGCAGATTTCCCAGCATGCCGTGCTGCTCCGCTGCCGATCACCCGCCCTTCACTAGGACGTGCGGGCAGGTGGTCTTTCTGTGAGAATGAGGCATTTCTGCACGCAGGTGGCCATGCAGAGCAGGGTTGGAAGAGCTGCCCCATGTCTTGCCCCCTCCCACCCCCGAGGCAATGTGCTGGATTTTGCTCCTTTTCCCCTGTTTTCACTCTCACACTGTAGTCTTAGGAGCTGACCTGCACCTGGGGTGAATCTCAATACCAAGAACACAAAGACCGTACTTGTGGTCTTGGCAAGACCAGGTTTGCTAACTTGCCTTCCTAGAACTTGGGGTGCAATGAATTATGGGACTGGTCTCGTTCCGCGAGAATGGAACCAAAGTGTCCTTGATATTTGGAACAGGGCGAGACCGACATCCGGGGATTTTTACTGTCCTCTGTACTTGTGTTCTTAATATTGGAACTGGTCTTCAGCAATGGAGGATAACATAAAACGGGTACACGAGAACAAAAGTACGGCCAAGTTTGCATATTAAGATTCACCACCAGAGTTTTGGGGTGTGAGTCTGATGGATCTGTAAAGAAATGTGCAGGTCGCTGTACTTTTATACTTTGATATTGCATACATACTATCTCATACTACACCATACTACACCATACTACACCATACTGTCTCAGTCTGTCCAGTCAACCGCTTAGGAGAGAGTTTGATATGGGGGACGCAATTTAATCATCTTCATTCAAAGGTCTATTTATTGGGGTGGATGAACATTTTAAAGATGAAATATTTGGGGGTACTCTCCCACAGTTCCACACCCTCTGTGTCCAACAACCTAAAAATTAACTTCTGTCATTGGCTGACTCTTAAAACCCATCACCAATGAATAAATCCCAAAAGGACACCCCCACCCCCCCCTTCTGATTATCTCTAGCTGCACTTTAGTAGTTAAACCCAATCGATGACGCTAACAGCCTCTAACTGCTGTGTTCAACAGCTGTATGCAAGACCTCTGCCGTCACCATGGAGACACCTGTTCACTCCCTGCCCTGTCGCCATGGAGACAACCGCCTTCAACTCCTGGTCGCTCTACTTCATACCAGGCCTCGCACGGTCCCATAGCGCCCTACCCCGCCGCTCTTCCGGGACCGTGATATCGTCACCTTCCTTCTTCCTCCTCATGTCTATTTGTTCCTTACAGCTGTTTGCATCACTGCGGCGTATACATAGTTTGGTTGTGCTGTCGGTTTGCGGGTCAATGCGCCGTCATCCCCGCATGCGGCATATGTTGGCAGCGATGAGTCACCGAATCCGCATCACAGGGGCACCGGAATGTTGACAGGTATCGGGTGGCTTTGTGTGACAACATGCGACGTCCGTGCGAGGGAAGCATGCCGAGATTCACAGGGAGTGAGTCATTGTTTTAGCTCTCCGGTTATTTATTTATATTCTCTGAAGATATTAATTTGAAGCAGGGGAGTCCTGCGGGGTTTCCCTGTCCCCACCCCCTTCCCCAGGTGCCTCAGGACACCCTTTAGGGAGGGTACCCCCCCCCCCACAAGTGCACTCTGGCCTGCCTGACATTGTCTGATCCTGCCCAGACTCCCTGACCTGCTTGGTTATGCAGAAGAGCTCCTAATGATTGATTGAGGTTGGTGGGGGAGGGGGGTGCAGCAGTGGGCAGGCATAAATCTATTTCTAGGCTGTGCTCCAGGGCATGGAGACGGATAGCCCCCCCGGGGGTCCGGGCCGGAGGACGAGGTGGCAGGTGTCGACGGGGGCAGGGACACAGTAGACACTTTTGACCAGTTAGACCGGTGCTTCACCCAGTAAAGGGGAATCCTGCCAGTCTGCATATGTGTGCTTGTATCATCATCACTAAAACCACAACATCCGACATGCGCTCTCTGGGTTTAAGTGTCTGTTTTTATTTTGTCATAGAGAAAACCCATCTTCCTTCTTTTCTCAGGGATGACTTTGGTGAGAACAAAACCTCGAAGAGCCTTTTGAAGACAGGGCAGCTTGCCTGTCCACTCTGGCTTCATCCCTGTGTTTTTGTGTGTGTGTGTCTCTGTTTTTAATCATGTGTGAAGATGAGATAGTGCTTCAAGGCAGTGATATGTACTGTCACTCACCCACCGGTTTAAGCCAGCTCCCATTGGTTGCTCGGTCAACTCTCATTGGCTTAAAGCTGGTATTGATTGACAGTGTAGCCCCGCCCACGTTGGGCTCCGGTGCCTCGTCTCTGTTACCACATCTACGAAGCCTTTGCAGCCCACCCTCTGGGGACATGGCACAAACCGCGTCAGAAGAGAACAGTAACGGTGCTGCACCCAGGGTTTGTGAGGAGGCACGCAGTTTCCAGCTCCCTCCCAGTAAAACAAAAACTCTCGTCTGCCCTCTGGAAGTCAAATGCGGGGGTTAAACTCCCCCCACGTGGTGATCAGGTAGCGATGGCATGCTGATGAGCTC